CATAATTTTGAATGTGATTGGCTAATTATGAACACAGCCACATCCCACTTATGTGGCTGCATGTGTGAGTATCTTATAATTAGGTATGCACACTTATGCAGCTACATTACTCTGCGGTTTTTTTTTGTTATTTCCCTTGTAAAAGATTTGTTTTTCCATTGTATTGTGCAGCTTGTATATTATATTAAACATGGGGAAAAAAAGATCATTGATGTGATCTAAATTTTTTACATCCTGGAAACATCTCAGAAATCTCGGCATTTAAACAGTGGTGTGTCGACTTTTTATATCCACTATTTCCACTTCTGCTTGTATTTTACCACAAATAGTCTTCAAAATGGCAATGATAATAAGCAATTTTATCTTAAAATGCCTCTCAAATGTGTCACAGCAAGTTTCTGAGAGCTCTAGCGTAGAGTATCTGGACAAAATAACAATACCATGACCCACATTAAAGAGTGCTGCTGGATGCTATGAATGATTCTTCATTGTCACATAGACAACAAAAATGTTATGCAGTAATCTGCACCAATTGGCTCTGCTGCATTTGTAATACAAATTGCCTATTTTAGCTTCTCAGAAAAAAGGAGAAGTAGGGGTTTTATTGCCATAGAGAGAGCGGAAGTGAAGCCATGACAAGGATTATTTTGTTTTCTCACTCCAAAAGCCTATAAGGGCCTTCATAGATCTCCAGCTCTGGCTTTTAGAAATGCAAGCATCCATGAGATTCCAAAGTCTTTTCACTATAATGAAAAGGAGTAATGTTGTGAGATAACACTTCATTAGGTAATAATCTGACTATGATAATTTCTTATATTTAGGAGCAAATTATTGAGTATATTGCCTTTTGTTTTTAGAGCCCAAGATGTTGGGTCTATAAAGCTCTACATGGTTTGGATTCCAGGTACTGAATCTCTGATTTTTAAATATATTCTATCAACAAAAGATCATGTGAAATTGGAATTGATTGAGGGAAATTTTTATTAGCCCCACATAAACTTTTCTTTCATGATGGCAAGAAATGCGAAGGAGCAGGAAATCAGATAGGCAAAGAAATCCTTGAGAGAAGTGAGGGCATCTGGGCTGTGGTGGGTGGGGAAAGCTCCGTGGCACAGTGCTACAATGGTGAAATGGGCAACGGAGTGGCTGGCATGAGGTAAGGAGGAGGCTGCTGTCCTTCTCTTCTCCCTGTTCCTCCCCGCCCCCTCATGCTGGCTGCTCCATTTCCCGTTTCTACACTGCAGAACAGCACCCAGGAATCCATTTTGGTAGCATGGGGGGGATAATTTGCCTGGCCAAACAAACCCTACATACATTGGGCTCAACAGCAGCTTCGATCGGGTTGCTCCGATCATAACAGCCCCACCGTGATTTTAACCCTGAGGGTGGGATAGGGTTTCTAAAGTGCACAGGCCTACAAACTGCTTCTCGGCAGGAGTCCTCTCTGGGCTCAGAGAGCCAATTTGGTTTGTCTGTGCAAGCTTACATCATTCTCTCCCTTGCTGCTTGGCGGGTCATGCTCCGCTGTGTCTTTTTAGCTATGCTGGCGCAAAAGGGCTGGTGTGTATGTGCTTTCTTGGGATCTTCTCTTTTAAGGGGTGCTAGCTTTGGGATTTACAAGATTGCGGGTTGATCTGCTCCTCACCGCTGCCTCCTCCTCCTCCCCCTTTGTCCTTTGGCTTTATAGGGAGATGGTCCTCCTTGGGATTTGCACCTGGTTCCCTGCCTACAAGTCTGTTCTTTTTGGAGGGTCCTTTTTGGACAGGGTGAGCTGTGGTTTTGCATTAATGTTCAGATGGATGGGTGTGGGGGTGTTTAACTTCATTAATGAAGTTCACTTTATCTTAAGTACTGCCTTTGAAACTCTATAGAGCTTTTCATCTGTGCATTTTAGAAAGTTTTGGTGTAAGAGTAAGAACTTAGAGTGTATTCATACTGTATATGCTGTTGGAAAAGACCCTGCTAGTCTCCGGTAGCCAAAAAATCAGGAATCTGGTAGCTCCCTTTCAAGCTTACAACATCCTTCATCAGTTAAGCTACGCCATCAGTTGGATGAAATGAGATTAAAGTTTAATGTCTTTTTATACTACCTGTTAACCTGAAATGGGTCTAGTAGATTCCTACTGTAGAGATAATCCTTGACTTACACCACAACTGAGTCCAAAGCTTCTGTTGCTAAGCAAGACAATTGATAACTGAGTTTTGCTCCATTTTATGACTATAATTGTTAAATGAATCACTGCAGTTAAATTAGTACCACAGTACCACAGTTGTTAGGTGAATCTGGCTTCCTCATTGACTTTCTTGCCAAAAAGATCACAGAAGGTGATTATATGATCCAGAACATTGCAACTGTCATAAATACGTGCTAGTTTCCAAGTGTCTGAATTCTGATCACATGACTGTGGGGATGGTTGCAATGGATATAAATGTGAAAGATAAGTCATTTTTTTCAGTGTTGTTCTAACTTTGAATGGTCACTAAATGAATGGTTGCAAGTTGAGGACTACCTGTAGTCTATGTCAATTTATTCCTGCTCTGTTCTGTGAAACTTATTATTTAGCTAGTATATGTGTTAGGATCAGGGAGATTGGTTAACAGCTAGCAAATATTCTAGCTTTTTTGCCTATATCTTTACATCTGTAGGTCTGGTTTTAAGATTGTGATCATATAAAGTGAATAATTCAAAATTAATTTTTTATTGATAAAATGCTGTCTCACCTTGACACTGTAAATGAGATCTGCAGCAAAAAGAAGGCTGGGGAATTCTGGAGGTTGAAGTCCATATACACAGCCCTCAATTTAACAACCATTCCTTTTACCCTCTGTTCCCACCTTCCATTTCATAAGGCCAATAACTTTATTCTGGAAATTATATGTTCAGAAGGAAGCCGAATCCAGTAGGCCCCTTGAAATTAACAGGTAGTCCTCAATTTATAACAGTTCATTTAGTGACCATTCAAAGTTACAATGGCACTGAAATGACTGCTATTCAACTTATAGTCATTGCAGCAGGATCATGGTCAAAATTCAGATGCTTGTCAAATATGCTTGTTGCATATTTATGACAGTTGCAGTATCCTGGGATCATGTGATCAACTTTTGCAACCTTCTGACATATTCACTTAACAATTGTGTTATCAACTTAACAACTGCAGTGATTTACTTAACAATTGTGGCAAGAAAGGTTGTTAAATGGGGCAAAATTCACTTAGTACCAAAGGAGCAGCTCCTCGCATTATGGCTGCTGCAATGAATATGAGAAGCCCAGCCAATGTTTTGAGCACGGTTAACATCTCCAGCTCAACGAGTTCTCCATTAACACCACACTTGTCAATTTACCAACTCTAGTTACTGCACTAGTGAACATCGCACATCCGGTCACTATCACCTCACCAATGAATCTCCCAAAACCAATGACATTAGCTGGCCCTTTAAATACAGCCATGAGACCTGTGGAAAGCATGCCTTTCCTTCCCCTAACCTCTCCCCACTAGTAAAAAAAATCTAGAACAAAAAATTCATGCAGTGTTGAAAAGAATAGAAAAGGGGGCTGCGGTGTATTGTTTAATGGACTGCTAAATTGGCAAAATGGACTGCTAAATTGACCACACCCACCCAGTCACATGACCACCAAGCCACACCCACCCACTCCAGTCATGCCCACAGAACCGGTAATAAAAACATTTGAATCCCACCACTGGTGTACTTGGTGTCCACTCAAATATAATCTAATTGAATTAAATATCATCACAGCACTAAGAATCGTTTTCTATAAACCAATGTTATCCCAACTACTTGTTTAGGTTTCTTTTTTGAGATATGATTCTAACTGCATCCCCTTTTCAAGGGTTAAGTGACCAACCCATTCATGAAGTAACTAGGAGGCATATCTATATATTTCAGCAATAACATGTGTCCTTTGATTATATATTGAACTGTACTAAATCAAATTTTATTTCCTGGCCACAGTTATAGGGAAACCAAATTACTATCAATGCATATTGATATTTTGTATTAAAGCAAATTTCCTTTAAAATTTGGAGAGTTAAAAAACAGGCTAACTACTTTAAATCATGATACTTAAAAACTATGCATTTTTTATTTCGATGCATGTTTTTCCCATTCTAAAGCCACGATTTCAGCATTGATTTGGTGCCATCAAGAGATGCAAATATTCAGAGGCCGATATTTGGACATATTTTTTTTTGTGTGTGTGTGGTTTGTGTGTCTAAATAAATAAAAAGTAATTGGTCTTATTATTCTTGATATTTTATTTTATCTTAAAACTTTTTAAAGAAATCAGCATCTATGTAATATTACTTGAGAGCAATAGGGATGTATGGAGCTGTTTAGCTCTGTAGTACCTTCACTACTTTGGACCTGTATTTCTTCAACTGTCACGTGCTTATTCTTTTGTTGTAGTTTATTTATGTATTTTTTAAAAACACAGGTAAAACCTTAAGAAATGGTAGCTGTGGCATCATTTTGTAAGCTGTTGTTTCTTTCATCAATCCAATTATTCTATTATTTTGTTTTAAACCTTTATTCTGCTTTATTCTAATGCTTTTTCTGCTAATAAAAGCTTTTCCTAAATGTTATGCTATATTAATTTTTCCTATTATGTCTCTTTATCTAATACACCTTTCCAGAACTTTTCTCCATGCCCTTCTTTCCTTTAAGTGTTGTCTCTTCTATCTTTCCCCTAAACTGTTATGTTTCAGTCTATTTACTATTCTGGCTTACTCAGCTATGCCATTTTTGAGGTTTCAGCCTCTTCCTTTCTACCATGTGAATCTCTTCCTAGTAAACTTTTCACCAGTTTGCCTCATATTTTAATTATAGATTACATAAACATAAAAAACAGAAAACACTAGGGTACTAATCACTTATGTAAGCTCATACTATGAAAAAAAGTATACTTGCAATGTTATCTTTAGCAAAAAAAAAAAAAAGCAACTAAGATGTTAAAGGCTATTCCATAAAACAAGAGAGAGTACCTTCAAATCCAATAGGGAAGAATCTGATTCAAAGCTGGTACTAGATGGGAAGACAAAATTCCCTGAAATAAAAAGATGCATTCATGAAGGAGTGAGCTTTAGTGTAAAAGTTTATAATAGTCCATATTTACCTTATTGTAGCTACTCTCTTATTCTTCTCTGATACTCTTTAAAATGAGCAACATAATTGTTTCACATTTTTCATTAATCAATTTGTGCTGATTTCAGTTTAGTAAAAACCTTGGAGATTTTCTGTTAGGAAGACTACTAAGATACATAAACAAATATTCAATATAACATATCGTATTTTTCAGAGCATAAGATGCACTCCCCCACCCCCCCCCCAAAAAAAGTGGGTGGAAATGGCTGTGCATCTTATACAGCGAATACAGGCCCGTTTTTGTCTCCTGGGATCCCGTTTTTGGCCTGCAGAATGCTTCTGGACACCAGGGAGAGCAAAAACAGGACCTTGGAAGCCTCCAAAGACCAAAAAAAGGTCCATTTTTGGCCTGCACAGTCCTTCTGGATGCCGGGGAGGGCAAAAGGCTATTTTTTTCTTGTTTTCCTCCTCTAAACCAAGGTTCATCTTATACACTGAAAAATATGGTATTTTTGTGGTAGACTATCAAGGTCTAGAGATAAAAGATAGATTTAAGAGGACAAAGTTGTTTTCTATTTTTAGTAGTCTTAATAAAAATTAAGTCCATTGGGAATTAGGCAATCTAGAAATATTGCAAAAATAATATTTTATTTGCACTGAGTAAGGTTTATAGACTAAATTATTTTTTTCTTTTTAAATTATCGCTGTTTGCCTGATACCTGTCTTTTGCAATGGGACAGGGTTTTATAAAAGTGGTACTAGTACTTTGTGTGAACTTGATTCTATGCCTCTGTTTGTACCACCTAGGATTGTATTTAGTTTATTTGGCTGCTGCTGCATGCTGCTGGCTCATATTCAAGCGATCATCCATTAGAACTCCAAAGTCCCTCTCACAGTTACTGTTTTTGAGTCAAGTCTCACTTAATCATTTGATACATTTGATTTTTCTTGCCTAAACGTAAAACTTTGCTTTTTTCTACGTTGAAATTCATTTTGTTAGAAAGGGCCCATTTTCAAGTTTGTCAAGATCTTTTTGGTTCCTGAACACATTTTATTCTGATATATAAATAACACCTTTCTCTGCATTATTTTTTTTAGAATGTTGTTAACATTTTTATTTCCAAAGTTAAAAATACATAATAGAAATAAGGAAAAAACAACATAAACTGCAAAAAAACAAAATGAAAAAAAAAACAATAAAAATGTGTACAAGTAACAAATATATTATTAATATTACTTGTAGACTTATTGTGCAAGGGGGAAAATGCATGTTTAATGCTAATGTGAACAATATATTTATTATTTGTTATTTTTCAGAATTTTTAAAAGACTCCATAACTTTTGGCTTGTATTACAAAGCAAGTCAAAGTCAGCTTGAATTGGACTACTTTCCATGTCCAATTTTTTTGACAATAAAAGGTTTTGCTTTCCAAGAACAACTGCTAGAAAATAGATTTTTTTTTCAGTACATTGCTAGCATCCACTCCCAAAAATTGTTGGTTTCCCCTGGCATAAGGAGATAGAACTGTGGCTAATATAGATGCACATTAAAATTAATATAAAACACACTAAGTATATTTTAGATTTTTAACCTTTTAAAAAAAGATTTACTACTTACAAAACAGAATGTGCAACTCACAGAAATCTTGCACACTGATTCAGTTCTGCTATTTTATGGAGGAAATTATTTCCCCCGTTATTCTAGTTTATAAGAAGCTTACCTGAGTGATGACATTGGGACAAATCAGCGCTCTGTGGCTCTGACTGACAAACTTTAGTGTTTCTTCCATCTGGTTGAACAGAATGCAGCCAGTGGGCCTCTTTGGTTAATTCCAAAGCAAGAACAGCCAATGTACTCTAATAAAGAACAAAATGCATTGAGGCCATATAATGTCAATCGTTTATATGTGCCTTCAATCTCATTTGGATGAATAACCAAGGAAAGCTGCAATCATACAAGCCTGCTTACCCAAGTAAAGGCTTCTAATGGAGTGTAGCAGTAGACGTTCCTGTTTCCAAAGGTTTTGTGCTGCTGATGCTTGCCATGCCAACTTCAAAGAGAGAAAAAATTACGTAACTACAGAATATATAAATAAAAGAAAAAAAATGCACTCTGTGAGGCAACTCATCTTGCAAAGCAACGTTATATGTATACTATTGCAAAATGTGCATATAGATCTTAACTATAGCTTGCCATCAATAGAACTGTATAAATACAGTATCCATATTTTACTATACAAAAATAGGATTAGAAATATTAAATGTAAATATTAAAAATAATTATTACATAAGCAACCATTTTGACACTGAAGATTATTTTCTGATGATTGATCACGCTGCACAAATATCAGAGGACTGGGGCTTAGCTATTACCATGCCCATATATACAAAGGACACCCGAGACCTGCCTATACATTATTAGCCTGCTAAGGATAAGAAGCAAACTCTATGCCAGACACCTATATAATAAACTTATTGACTGGATTGATTCAGAGCACATATTGGCTGATGAGCAAGTGGACTTTAAACAGATTTCGATGAAATTTTGTGTGAACATGTACACATGTCCCCAATGAACATTGGTGAAATGTTAAGTTTGCTGATGCAATACTTGCAGGTATTTAGTCATTTGTTTCACTCCATACCGCAGCCTTCTACAGTGTGAGGTTTCAGCAACTTTGAGACATAATATTTCAATTCACAAGCCACAGTGCATCCATTTGTCACTTATGTTGATAAAGAAACAATGGGGGTTAGGGGTGTCCAACTTTGGTCAACGTTGATAGGACTTCAACTCTGAGAATTTCCCAGCCGGCTTTGGAATTCTGGGAATTATGTTTATGCTTTATCGACATAAGTGGCAAATGGATGCACTGTGGCTTGCGAATTCTCCCAATGAAAGCCTTGAGCACCATCTTGGATAACAAATGAATAATTCTCCGCAAAACCCATCAGTACAATCAGTTCGGTTTCTTTTAGGCTGGCTTTCAATGACTTCAAATATTTGCTTTAATGTTTTGAAACAAAGTGGTGGCTAGTCAGTTTCCTATATCTTTAAGAAAATGCAAAACTGTAATTAGGTGTGGTTTCTCAAACGGCCATAAGATGGAGCCAAAAACCTGGTTTGTCTTAGTCTTAGTCTCAGAAGAGAGTGTGAGTGTATCTCTGTTTCCTTCTGTTGGAGAGTATTGCCGTTCCATTTTTCCTAATTGACTGATATTCCTGGATTTGATGCAAGTTTGTTACTGAACTGTTTTTGACACTGGAATTTGTTATTGGATTATCCCTGGATTGAAAAACTGACTGATTTACCTGTAAATGATTTTTGACTGCTTATTTTGGACTTTGCTTAACGTTTCTGGAAATAAAAACCTACATTTACTGTCCAGTGTATCTGTGTGCTGTGTATGTGTATTATTCAAACACTACTCTCAAATACGTCTCCCTGTATGAGCTCATTCTCCTAACGGAGAATGACCTCAACATGATTGTTCCGAATTTCAGTCCTCAAATATTTCGTCCGAATGCGCTATCAGTGCCTTTTCACCAGGGTAGTTTTGGCATTGCTGCAACATACAATCTTTGGTGTTCAGATCACAAACTGCCTTTCCCAAGAGCAGCTTGTAGTCCTCTTTAATGTTGGCACCTTGTAGCATAAGCGTAACATTTTGATGAATAGTGCAGACGTAGACAGAATGTGTGCCTGAGGCTTGGGAACCATATAAGATACCCACTTTAGGCTTGGGAACCTAGGATAAACTGCCCAATTGTTGGCTTGGGAAATGGACAGATACCCACACAAGGCTTTGGAACCTCGAGGAAGAAACCAAACTACAGGCTTGGGATCCTGAACCAAGAAACCCACCTGTGGCTGGTAGTGCATAGCTATCAGGCATGGCCCCTATGGCGATGGGGTTCAAGTAGTAGTGACAATGTCACTATGGACCAATGCAATACAATAGTAGTAATGATGACTATATAAAATGTTAGTTATAAAGTATGAATATGACTTATATAAATATTAAAATATATATTCAGGCTACATGTACTCATAGTGGAATCTTTCAATTTGGTTTGAAATCAATTTGGCAAGTCTACATTGAAAAGTTAGGCATTAATTTTTGTCTATTTCTCTTTTTTTCTTTCTACTCCTTTACAGGTAACACTGTATATCATCTGTGTACATCCAGCAAATATGGGAACTAGACATTACCTTAATGATTTTTTTCTTAAATGTTTTGCTATCAAGACCCTTTCGACTTTTAAAAATTATGAAGGGTCCCAAAAGAGCTTTTGTTTGCATGGGTTATATTTCTCTATATATACTTTTATAAATTAAAAATGATGCATTTATTTATTGAATCATGTAAAAATAACATCACAGTGTTAAGAAACAATCCTTTAAGAATAGGATCCCATTTTAAGAAACACTGCTTTAATATGTCTTGGTTATGACAATTCATATTATTAATATAAACAGCATTCAACTAATATGAACCAAGTATTTAGAGGAGCACAGTTCCTTCTTGAAACTCAGAAATTAGTAGCTTTTATTTTAAATTCATATTAAAAATCTTTACCAGAATTTTATGAATGATGGAAACAATTTATGACTGATAATCTGGAGGTCTTCTAGTTAACCCCCAGCCCAGGGCAGGAATCCTCAAACCATCCCAAATGATGATCCAATCTTTGCTTGAAAATCTCCAGTGATGGACAGACCTCCAAAAATGGCACCCTGAGCAGATGGGAGTTTTTTCCCTCTGGGCAGCTGATTTCACAGCTAATGCCAGTTCTTTGGCAGCACTTACTCCCTAGATTTGAATGAGAGCAACTAGAAATGACCCCAAATCACTCTCAGATTACTTACCTGCAAAGAGGAACCTTGATGTTGAAATTCAGGTAAACACTGGGAATTGGAGCCCTGTTATAATGCAATATTGCAGGCTAACTCTGCCCACAGCCAGAAATCTGATCCTGACGGGTTCACAGTTGACTCAGCCTTCCTCCTTCAGATGTCAATAAAATGAGGAGCCAGATTGGTGGGAGCAATATACTGACATTCGTAAACCACTCAAAAAGTGCTGTAAAACCCTATGAAGCTACATTATCAGTCTAGTTGGCTTCCACACATCCTAAAGTTGTTCAACTTGAAAAGCACTGGTTTGGCTAACCCATCACACCATCCATTTCGATCACTGGCCTTTCCGAGCCACTCCGAGCGCTCAAGGAAGCGACGAGCCAGTTGCTCAGACTGCTCAAAAACCTATCTCCCCCCTGCAAGTACAGAGGTTGGGGGGGGGGGCTCTCTCGTGCCCTTCTTTCACTTTCATTTGCATTCCGGATGGGGCCATATATTTAGGCTTTAAGTAAGTTCTACCTCTCACAAGACGGGCGCCGGCGTCTTACCTGTTATCCGTCTGCTTAGACTCCTGGCCGAGAAGCAAGGATTCCCCCTCCTGAAGACGGGAGCGGAAAAGGCCGGCAACCGCTCCTCCAGGTGATCTCACTGAGCAAGGCAAAAGAAAATATACATCAGGCCGAGGTGAGAAAAAACCCGCACGCAAACCTCTCACAAAAGATAAGCCAACCTCCACGGCTGAAACTCCACAGCCAACGCCATAACATCTTTCTGCATCGGATCGGCTTAGCCTTAGAGAAAGGGAGCACACGCTCTTATGTCATCGGCTGCATAAACTTAAAAATATAGACGTACTTAAGCAATATCCTGCGAGTTCCCTTTTTTCCCCCCTCACAAGCCAACTTATTTCGATCTCTTTTAGGATCTTTTCTACCGGCAAGTGTTTTTTTTCTCAGTGTTTATTAACTTTTTGGCCTGAAATGAAAGACAATATTGAAACAATCGGGGATTGTACCTTAGTGACTTTGGAAAAGCTAATCATATTGAATTTTAATAATTGTGAATGGGAGTCCTTCAAAAAAGCTCAGAATGTCAGCTCAGACTTGGAAATGGAAAAAACAGAGGCAAAATTTTTTTTTTTACTGTTGCCACGAAAAGAACATGAAAGTAATTAGATTTGGAGTTGAGTCTTTATGACAGATTAAGAAAAAACTCTGTAAGGATTCAAATCATTTAATCCTTCCACACTTTAATCATCTTTGGCATCTTGGAGAGATCACTTCCAGAGCGAAGAAACACCCACAATCTGCCCTTCCTGATTCCTGGACTGCGCAGCCTGTGACTTCCTCAGTAGAACTGGGACTTAATTTATTGTTCTGAAAACAAAAGTCTCCAGAACCATAGTTACATGAGAGAACTACCACCTCCAATAGGTTTTCTCTCAATTAGAAATTTTTCCCAAAAGGTATTAGTAGCTACTGTATAAAGTGTAAGAAACAAGTAAATTCAAAAATAAAATGGTATATAAGATGCTTAAAGGTTTCACAAATGGGGGTTGGACCTTGCAGGATCCCTTCCAATTCTGTTAATCTGTTATCAAATAAAATATATTTCTCTGTATACACATGCTTTGTTTTTATACTTTTGACAGGCTCCATTGTTAAGCCTTTTGATATTTTTATCTTATGTATATGCCTTTTATATTATTATTATGTTCGGGGGCGCGCTGTTGTTATAATCTCTTTGGAAAAATGGTAGTATATGATGAGCTTAGAAAGAAGCCCTGATGAGGGGATGCTACATTCCTTAATGCTAAGGAAAGATGCCACGTGGACAGCCAAAGTAAGAGGTATGGAGGGGTTATGGATGAGAACATAACCGAGGGGGATAATTCTCCCTGGAGACATCCTAGGATTAGCTGCAACACCCGAGAGCAAATCCAATGAGTTTGAACTTGGGAGGGAATGAGTCTCAAGAAGGAGGGAACTTGGGTGACGAGATAAAACTGTATATAAAGTATGTTTTGAAATCTTAAGGTATGGTTCTTAGCTCAAACCTCATGTTGTTGAGATAAGCTAAGATCCTACCACTCTTTGCAAACAGCTTTTTCTCTTTTGTATGCTTTGATTTAAGCTTGCAAATAAAATCTCTGTATTTTCAACAATCTAAGTTTTTGTTATTTGGAGTCATTTCCAACAATTGGTGGAGAATGCGAGCATCTGCTGTCTTCTGATGCCCTGGACAGCAGAGTCAGGTGAGGACGGCATGCCCCGTTGATCTTCAACAGTCCACAGTTGGGTCAACTGTTTGAAAACGCGGAACGAGACACAGATCCTTGTTTTAAAATAGAGGTTGGTTGAAAACGGCAAGAGAAAGAAGGGGACCGGATTTATGAGATTTCCAGAAACCACTGGGCCACTCTGCGCACAGACCTAGGGGTAAGTAGTTCTGGTCAAGTAAGAACACACTCACTAGGCAATTTGAGGTTGGGTAGGACTGTGAGAATCTGAGTCTTGTGTGAGAGGTGTATGGATGAGACGACCCTAGCAGTCCTTGGGCTGTATTGAAGGTCGGATAAAGGTCTCTATAGAAGGTCTCACTGGAACAAGTTGGTAAGGATTGTTCAAGTCTGGTAAACAACCATGGGCAATTCTCATGGGTCCCAAGGGAAATGTGTGAAGAAGATTCAGAAAAATCCAAAGTAAAAATTGATCCTTCAAGTCCCTTTGCTTGAAGAATGGGGAAAACTGCCCTATAGAAAATTAATTACTAAATTAGGTATGAATAAAGAAGATATGGTAAATTTGTGTTGTTTTGTTTGGTGGGAGGATGAAAACTTAAGTTGGCCCCGATTAGGAACAAATTATTATTTTGCCTGCAGTAATTTGTATGAATATGTAAAGGATAAAGAGTATAAGTCATTAGAAAATGAAATAGATTATGCTCTGATTTGGAACCCAGACAAATAGCCCAAGAAGAGGGGTCTTATAAAGCCAAATTATTTATGGTAAATGAGGAGGAGGAAGACATGGGAAGTAAGAGGTATTTACCCCCTCCTTATAACCAAAACACTGTTCCTGCAGCACCACCAATGCCTTCTCCTCCTTCCCCATTACCAAGTCCTAAACAAAGTCTTAAAAATTCCCCTGCTTCAAGCAGTAATAAGTATAAGGCACTGAAAAGAGAATTGAAGCAATGTAAAAAAGATATTAGAGATTTTCCATTTAAATAGTATCCTTTAATGGGAGAAAAAGAAACAGGAATATTTCTGCTTTGAGAGGTATCTAATGGAGTAAATCAAGGGGTGCCTATAATAAACTTTGTGCAGGATCCTTTAAAGGCATCCAAAGTGAGAGCCTTTAAAAAGGAAATGAAAAGTATTATAGATGACCCTTTGGGGGCATCAGAACAACTGGATAATTTGTTAGGACCTAATATTTACACATGGGATGAAATGATGGCTAAACTTAATACCCTCTTTTCAACAGAGGAGAGACAATTAATTAGAGCCACCGCAATAAAAATATGGGAAAAAGAGCACCCCCCCCTGCTAATAATAACAACATTAAGGGGGAAGATAAATTTCCCCTGGTTAGACCAAATTGGGATAACAACAATCAAGCCCATAGAATTAATATGGAAGATTTAAGAAATATAATTGTTAGGGGAATAAAAGAGGCAGTACCAAAAGCACAGAATATGAACAAAGCTATGGATTTAGAACAAGAAAAAGAGGAATCCCCAGCAGCTTTCTTACAAGGGCTTAAGGATATGATGAGGAAATACTCTGGCATTGACCAGGATGATGCTACAAATACCCAACTGGTCAGAGTTCAGTTTGTAACAAAGGCATGACCAGATATTTTGAAAAAATTACAAAAGATAGATGGATGGGCAGGGAAATCATTGGACGAACTTCTTAAAGAGGCCCAAATGATTTACGTCCAGCGAGATAATGAGAAAACTAAACACAAGGGTAGAATGATGGTGGCAACAGTCAGGTTATAAAACAAGAAAGATCTCCAAAAACCTCACCCGGAAAAGGTTAGGACGAGGAAGAAATGAAGGAATGAGAGGGTGGAACCAGGGAATAAAAAGGGGAAGATGATGTGGTGGTACGGGCAGGGAGGACAGAGTGAGGAGATGCTTTGGGTGTGGCCAGCCTGGACATTTCAGGAAAGATTGCCCGGTCCAAAGAAGGGAGGTGCAAGTGTATAATATGATGGAAGAGGATGAAAGTCAATTCCAGGGATGTCTGGGGTGATTCCTTTTCAGGTCTCACGGAGAGCATTGTTATGTTTTGTTTCCTTAGCTGTATTAAACCTTATTGTCAAAATGTAAAAAAGAGAGAGAAAAGGAGAAACATGCTCTTGGAAGGAAGCCTCCACCTTTGTGCCCCAGAAAAACTGTGTCATTCTATTTGCAAGAAAAAATACTGGGCCAGCTTATCGATAAAACAAAAGACCTTCACCCTCAGGACATAATAGGATTAGCCCTCACTTAAGATCCAAACCAGGACAAAGCCATTAAGCCATAATAGGAATTGCCCAACACCTTTTCAGAACATAACCCTCTTCATTACATCATCACCCAGCAAGATTCTACCAAGCCTAGGACTTAAGACAACCTACAAAGTTACCCTGCATGGCCCCATGAGAGTCTGAAAACCAAGCAGAATACATGCCCTTCCCACAGGAACAGGAAGCAAGTTCAAAGCCCAAGAGAGGGTATAAATCTCTCTCTTTCTGTGTCACCCATGTGCTCGATTGCCCAGGACGTCAAACCATGTGATCCTGTCCACAATTAAACCATCTTTCCAAATAGCTTCCTGTTTCCAATGTCTTTCTCCACACTTGGAACTGAACCCAGATGGACATTTCTTCCAACACTACCCAGACTAGAATAAGAAGATTTACCCAATTATTACTATGAGCAGATGTGGGGAATGAAGGTGAAGATATTAAGACAAATAGACTTAGCAACTCTCAGGATAAGACCATATGATTTGTTATGTAATTGTGCTCCTTCCACCGGCTTATATCATAACCACTTTACCTGGTGTACAGGCAGTGGTGGAAATCCTAGCTAATGGGACTGGGGATTTTATTTTGTTGCTGCTGCAACAAAACAAGAATCTAAGTAACAAATAGAATAGAGTGGCTCTAGATACAGTATTGGCATCCAAAGGCGGTCTGTGTGCACTACTTGGGCAACAATGCTATGTGTATATTCTGGACAAATCAAAGGAATTCCATAGCTGAACTACACATATTGTAAAAGTAGCTGCAATCCCCCATATGGATTGGATAGAATGGAAAGGCTGGTGGCATTGGCTGACAGGATGGTTGCCTGGTTTCAACTGGTTAAGAACCCAGATAACGACCCTGACATGCATTATCTTTGTTCTTCTAATTACCTGTTGTGGATTACAATGCCTTCCACTTTGTCCTTCCACCTATAAGCGAACTACAAGGTCTCCCAGTACGCAAATATTGATGTTAGGTGGATCTTAAAAAATTAAATCATTTTCAGATTCAAAGTGGGGAGGTGATGGGCTGTCTGCTAAAATAAAGCTAGGTCATGACACACACTTGAAAATAAATCAGGAAGCCTGTAATTGTGGAGTGTCTCTGCCAAAAAAAACAATGCTTATTCACAAGAAATATGCATGTGTAAAGCTTGTAACAATTCTGAGTAGTTAGAAAGCTGATAAAAGTAACAAAGAGTTAGGCAACTTGGAGACCTCAGCTAGAAGTTAGGAATAGAAATGGCCTGGAGCAAATAAAATGTGTATTAGATAACTCCTGGGGCATTCATTAGTCAAGGTTTAGGAACAGGG